AAAATCGATATTCGATACCTATGAAGTGATGCGCAGAGATAGAAAATTTCATGAAATTTATTAAAGTGAAATTTCAGGAAATTTCATGAAATTTATTGAAACTTATGGGGATGCATTCAGGAGGCTAAGAAACGCCTAGAGACAGTGATTTTAAATGTTTTGAAATTTTTTAATTTTTTTTCGCGCGTTGCAAATGTTTTTGTTTAGTTTAGAGGTTAGGTTGGGGTTTTTCGCTATAAACTCCCCTTTTTGCCCCCTCTTTGTGTCTGGCACCAGCAGTGGAGCAGCATAATACGGCAGCATTGACAGGAAGACCATCTGAAACGCTTTCAGACCTCCAAAGGTTTAATAAATAAAGAGAAAAAAAATAAATAAATTTCAACTTTGATGAGATTTATTCGAGCCTTATAAAGTTTCAAAACGTTAAATTTCACTTTCCATCTCTGGTGATGCGAACAATCGATTGTCCGATGGGTGAATCCTCACCGCACGTAAACACTTCTAATTTCGCTCTGTTCATGACTTCACGAGGCGGAATCCTCGTCATTTTAACATTCCTTTCCACTATGGAAATAGGGCTTATAGTAAAATGTATCCCATCCCAGGCATACAGAATGTAATCATAACCTCACTTTCGTGACATGCTTTGATTTATCGGAAATACCTAAATCATCAGATGCGATTTTTAAGTTTCTGGGGATGTTCTTATAAACTAAAGAGTACAGGGGACATTAGTTACTTTTATACGAGGCTCAAAACCGAGGTTTCACAAAACCTGAGTTTGTAATGCAAGTATCCTCTGTCGGGTTTATGCGGGTGCTGTGACCCGACTTTCGCGGGAAATCAACGATTTTGACGCATTTTCACAAGCTATACTTCATTTTTTCACTATGAATAATTGATTCAATAAAATATTATTACTCTTTAATCCTGTGTAAGTTCCACAATTATTCCACAATATACATATAAGCGGAGGCTCATCTTCACTAGAAAAGCCTTTGCTGACTTTCTGAGGAACAGTTGGAAAAATGACAGTGGATGTTTAATCATTTTACGTTCATCTTTAAAAATTGAATGAATACCTAATCTCAACAACCCTCCAAATCATGCTTGAGCATATATTCTGAGTCCAGAAAAGTTGCCATAGGTAATTTTAGTGATGTTAAAAATAATTATGGCAGGCGCAGAAATTCATCATGTTGTTGATTGAGCTTCTAATGATCTTCGGTAGGATCTAATGACATTAGGTAGGCATTGAAAGTGTAGGAGTGCTAATCCAGTAAAGCACCGCACCATCACTCCATGGTGTCATAAAGATTGTATGTCTGCCATTATTATAGTGCAACAAATAAAATAAATGCGCATTGTTGAGATGTTTGTGGATGAAGTTCCACGTAAAAAGAGGTTTTGTTAAAAATGTAAGGACGTGCACGACAAATCATGTCACATTCACTCACGCTACCGCGGAACATAGATTGGATGGAAGCCGGGGTCGGCACATGACTCTCGATTATGTTAATACATACTCGAAAGTCGAAACCCGAAAGTAGTGAAATCTGGTACCAGAAATTGCTTTTTTTTAAATTTGGCAACATAGATATATGCCTGCAACCAAATGACGGAAAAAATAGAATTAATTTTTTGTAAGTTTTGCAACAAGGCCAGAAAAATATCACTCATGCAAAAAAAAAATAACTCACGTACGAAAAAAATCCCTCAAGAGAAGAAAAAAATCCATCACAGGAAAAAATATTTCCCAGGGTAATTTCTTATTAAAGACACGGACGGCCAACCATATTATTGCATGTGAAATGCGTCTGGAAAATAAAAGTGATGGTATTTTGGGTTTCCATAATCCTTCTCCTAGTATTTTTGTGCAAGAGAGGCTCGCTTTACTGCAAAAAGTGCGAGGAAAATCTCATTAACCGACCATTACATTATAAAAGCAAATGATTAATGACCCAGTTCACCAAAGGACTCTTTGTATGGAAAGCACACTAACTTGAGGAATGAATATAGTGTATTTTTTGGTTGTAGTAGTTTTCCTCTTCACTCCGATCCGTCAGATTGCCTTTACAATAAGAAAATAAAATTGCAGGTATCCCTAAACTGATGTGCATCACTATTAGCATTTAAATGTGATTTACTGACTCTTGGATGGCATCGTTATGAGGTTAAAATCTTACAAATGTATTCTGATATTAAAAATCTAAGGACAAGATAAAAAGTGCTGATAGTGTCCACACATTACACTGTGTTTAAAATTGAGGAAAGTTATTCTTGTTGACCAGAGTTGAAGTATTGTAACTATTAGTTTTGAAAAAATTGAGTTATATATTTTCTGAACATCTCAAGCAAGGGGTACATTCTTAAAGAGAAGGAATAAATACGTACAAAAATCATGTAATTGGATATTTTGCAGTAAAAAAGTAGAATGTTATCAATGAAGAGCAGTAAGGTTTGATCTTGATTCACTCAATTCAGAGCTTAGTTGCTTCTTCAACTCTAAGCAACTCTAACATTCGAGAGTTATCTTCACTTTGAAAAAAATGAATTAAAAGATTGACAATGGTTGGATCAAACACATTATTACCACTTATTGACTCTGGCACAGCTAAGGTACCCTTTCCTTTTAGAATTTTTCTAGACTGTTAACTGACTAACAATGTACTGACCAACGGCAAATTCATCTATTCTCCTTGGTCTACCCCAGGAGGGTGGTGCAAGTGCTGGTAATTGTATTCGCTGATTGCGAGTCAACTTTTCATTGCTCAATTTACTTATCAACTGACCTACTAGAGCATCCAAATCACAAATTTTGTGTTGAGCATCGCTGGATAAATGCAAAAAATCTTCTGTATTTCCAACAACGATACAAATTTTTTTTTCAGTGGAGCTGACCACAGATTCAGCCTTGCGTTTAACATAACGACGGTGTAAGTCGGCAATCACATAGCTCGATTTGCGACGTCGCAGACTTCCTATCATACTTTACTTTTTAAACGGAAAACTACTCAACGGCTATTATTTAAAACTCCAGTGATTTTTCTTCTCTATGCGAAGAAAATTCTGCAAAAATTTCAAGGAATCATGTCAATTTGTTCTCTTCTAAAAAAATAACGTAGAGGCGGAGATTTTCAGACACCGTAAACGAGTTATGAGATTGCCGACTTACACCGTCGATAAGCTGTTTTGTTGTGAGCAGTTGAGCTGTTCAGTTGCAGCTTAGGAGGGGACTGGTCAAGATGCATTAGGACTGTATTCAGTTCTTCCTGTGCTTTTTCCTGTGTTTCACTTTCTACATCAGCAAGACCTCCACTACTTCGACTGCCACTAGGAACAGATGATGGTGTTAGCTGAAAGTCTGGCGAACTGTTATTCACATCCTACTGATCAAGTTGTCCAACTTTCTTAGACGTCCTATGCAAATTGCAAGTCCTGGTGATGGTTTCTAAGGGTTCTTGACTTCGTCAATCTTCTTTAAGTATTCCTCCGAGATAACTCTGAGAGTGGCTCTGGACACTTTTTTAGGGTACTTGAATGGATCAAAACACTTTCTGCTATCCTTAAATGACATCACTTTCAAGTTTTAAAACAGACACTTGCGTGATAAAAATAAATACTCAAAAAACTCTTTTACACAAAAGCAGTCTCAAATCTAAAACTTCGTAAATATTGCTGGCCGGGAGGAGAAAAACATGTTTCCCGCTTTGGTGATTTTGCGCCAAATTCCTGACTACACAATGTTGATAGTTTGCTTAAAATTTATTGTTAAGACAGCAGATAACCAATTGACGGTCAGAAAGAGAGCGATCAAAAACAGTGGAGTGAGATGAATTGAAGATTGCCTCGATAATTAATCCCAAAATACCATTAATTTTATTTTTCAAGCATATTGTACATACACTAAGGACCAATCATTAAAAAATTGAGCAATTTTTGAGTCGCTGCTCCAAACTTAGGGCCAATAATTGGACTACATTTTGCAATTAGGACCTGTAAATTCCGACCTGGTTTAAAAACAACGTATGTGCCATTAGTTTCCCTATGCACATAAGTGTTTTTTCAGATGAGCCATAATTCATAGGTCCAAATTGCAAAATGCAGTCCAATTGGCATACTTTCAGTATTTTTCAGTTTTTTAGGCCTTTTATGGACAAAAGTAAAAAAAAAACAGTACTGAAACCAAAAATATCATCAAGATTGTTCTGTAAGCGTCTTCCTGATACTCTAGGGAGCATTTTTAAAAAAAAATTGGAGCAAAAAATAACTTGCAGCTTAAAAGTTATGGGCATTTGAAGAGGGGAAAGTTTTGTCCTTGAAATCAGACCAAAAGTGTTACGAACAATCAACTGCAGCACATCAATGAGTGAACTCGAACATTTTATGCATTTATCTCTTAAATCTGCATACTTACATAGACATTATGTCAAATTTTCACTTCCATCCGATGAAAAATGGCCTGGGGTGAATTTTTTAGGAAAAATGACCGGGAAACATTGGTTTCTTGAAAATTCTTAAAACCCCTAAAATTCATATCTCAATGAGTTTTTCGATTTGAGACCTAATATTTTGCAGAAGTTCATTATTTGGTGGTGTGATTAGGAATAAATTTATCAGCAAAATCCGAGTTGGATGGTTGCATGGCTGGTAGGTTCTACATGGGATGACCCACAGATACAAAATTGGATTTGATTTTTACCGAAAATATTGATAAATATCCAATAAGTTAAAGTTGATAAGCTGGTAATAACTATTTGATAAAATGGAAAAGCAAAGAAAAATTATCAGAGACCAAAACTTAAGATTTTACTAACAAAGAAGAGAAAACAGCCCAAAGAACAAAACAAGATGAGAGGAGAAAAAAAGTTTAAGGAGTACCTTATCAGAATCTCAGTGCGCACAAAAATTTGAAAAGGTGTACGCATCGCTTAATAGAAAAACTCACTCCACACTCAGGATGCAGATGCAAAAAAAAAAAAAAATCATAAACCAATTACCGCTTGGCTGAGGGAAGGTTCCCCTGGAATCTCTTCCACAGGAGATTTAAATTCAACATCCCACCTCACAGGTACACTTCCGTCAGAAGAGAAAAACCCATCGACTAAAAGTTCTTCGGCAGGTTTGTTTTTCAAAACTGACTTTTGAGCTCGAGCCATCATTGAAATGCCACCACTTTGATAATTAGATTTTATAAACTGATGAGGAGCGATAGAAGAAAATCTTGCTTTGTGAGATAAGCCAGCTTTCTTAGGAGATTGGAAGGTAACAGAGTGTTGAAATCGTGGTGTTTCGTCTTTACCTTTTCTTGACACCTTAAATCACATTACATAAAATGTAACCAACTGTATAGGTTATTACTTACTTTTTTTCATACCCCGTAACTATTTTTTTTTAAAAAAAAAAAAAAAAAAAAAAAAAAAAACCCCAGTGAGGATTATGTTGAAATTCAATAATAATAAAAAAACAAATAAAATAATTTGCAAGTTCTATAATAAATGAGGAAATTTTCTCAGCCTATAAATAAATGTAAAGAATTGCATGATGCTCCTGATATTTTTGATGCAGCAATCCTGACCCTAGACTAATATTTTTTGGAATGTTATTTGGATAAATATTTTCCTAAGTTTAATGATGAAAAGTATGTGCAATCTCATAGTTTATGAAGTCAAGAAATTGAACACACATTCGTCAGTGGATCATTAGTGCTTAAAAACTCACCTGGATATCAAAGGGAAATTAGGTTTAAAAGCCAAATTTAAGTATCCTCGAAGGCAAATTCATTACTTTTAGTAATGGTTCAATGACTCACCAAATAATCAGAATACACGTAGGACAATATTAAAAAAAAATTCATTGCATGGACAAAATTTTTCTCTTTGATGAAGAAATTAAAAGTTGTCTGCAGAGAGATTATACTGCCTGCTGCTGAGTCTTTATTTCCCTAACCAACTTGCGACTACTTACTGACCTTAATATAAGTATATAAGCAATATTCGTGTCTTCTGTATATTATATACTTCTTAGGATACATTTATGGACACATGAAAAATGTCTGAAACCCATTTCAGTGAAAGACTAGAAGTAATGAAGGAGCATCAGGTGTACTTTGATGTAAATTAAAACCATCAGTTTTACCAACAATGATAGGAGAAGAGGGGTAAAAATACTTACCACTTTTACTGAACTAGTGGGTACATTTTTGACATCATCCTCCCACTGATTGATTTGACTCGCCAGAGCAGCCAGCCTGGCAGATCGAGCTATTGATTTACCGCTAGTTTTCTTAACTTCTTCTGCAGCAAATAATTCTTCTGTTTGTTGTATAGGAGAGGACACTCGACTTGGCCGATCTAGTAATTGAAACATTCAAAAATTATAATTCATTTAAAATTGATGAGACCTACGCTAGAAAAGCCACCTGAAGCTTTTAAGGAGTCCACTTCCACAGCCCCCCCCCACCTACTTTAGAATTATTAGAAAAAGATTAAGTCATTAAGCTGCACTATGGTGTACCGCAGAAACACAGTTTTGTGGGCAAAAAGGAGAGAGCAGAGTAAAAAGAAATTAAGCCTGAACTAGGGCTGTCCCCGAACCGATGAAATCGCTCGTTGGTTCGTACGAAACGATCGAGCGATCATTTCGTAATCGTTCACTTCGAAAAAATCGTTTCGAAAGCCTGTTTCGATCGGAATCTGTTTCGATCGAGCCTGCTCGATCGAAATCTGCTCGATCGAAATCCGTTTTGAATTATTTTTTTTTTTTATTTATTTTTTTTTTTATTTCATTTTTATTAAGTAAAAATGCACTACTGGCCCTTACGGGGCATTAATTATGGGGAGTTAATGTTCGAATAAAGCTAATCTTAAAAGTAATGTTATAATTTTTTTTTTTTAATTTTTTTTTTTTTTATTTTGAACCAATTACATTTTTTCGATTCGAGCAATCTCAAAAGGATTCCCGTGGGAGTTTCATGCACCGCTGATGAAAGCTTTAAAACGTCTTCCGAAGAAAATTCACGGGATAAGGGATCCCTGGCTAAAGTCTTCCCAGTAAAAATTTTTTGGAAGGAACAAGACCAGGTTCCACATATTTTTAAGCGGTGATTACCTACTTATACTTGTATATTAAAAAAGCCAAAACGGGTAATGCTCGAAAAAAAAAACAGGAGCCCTCCTACCCGTTTTGTAACTTTCTCGGGAATCTTTGATCCCTTATCGGGTGAAAGTACTTTCGATGGATGTAAGATGCTTTGGATTGCATATCAATGCCATACTCCGTTGCGTATCGCTGCGCTGCTTCGCGCCGGCCGTCGACCGCGTTTTTCATCTCCCTCCGGCTTCCCTTCCCGGAGGCTGCCTCACATTCAGCCCGCGCACATTTTAGACCTTTTTGACCGTTTGCTTTCAATCGGTCGTGTTATGACTTATGAGTAACAGCAGCCTCCTCGCGTCAACTGAAACCTAAGTGACGCCTCATTCACTTCTTATCTTTCGGGCAAGGCATTTTGTGACCCATTCTCCGTTCTCGCTCGTTCCCTCGCACCTGATCCTCCGCTCTGAGCTCCACGCCTCCACGTTCGCCGGCATCTCTTTACTCACTTTTCCCCCTCGTATTGCTCTTGTTTTTCCTCGATCTCGGATACCTCTTCGATCGAATGTCACCTGTTTCTCAGCCGTCGCCTTTGCCTGTCGATCGCCAACACTGCAGCTGCGTTACGTGCAACGTGCCTATCTGCTTCGCTTGGCGTGGCGCTGCATCACCGGTCGCCGCAGTCGCCGCCCGTCGGCCGAGTTTCTTCTCTCTCCTCTCTCTCTGACTTCCCTCCTCGGGGTTCACCTCACTTTCGGTCCAGCGTACATTTTGACTATTATTTGCTTGAAACTGGTTATCGCGTCAACCAAAACCTAATTGGCAAACATCACACATCTTTTTCAGGCAAGGAATTCTACGGCGCGCTCAGCCCCCATCCGCCCCCCTCCCCCGCTCATCGGTATCTCTTCATTTACCTAGTTTTCCTTGTTGTCGATTGTCTATCTAGGTCTTCACTGTCGCCTTTGTCTTTGTCCGCCGATCGCCAATTTGCCATCGCCACACTATTCACCGGTCTCCACTCAGATTTTTATTCACTATCACTTTTTTCCATTCCTTCCGTCTCTCTCATACAAATGAACTCGTCGCGTTGGCTGCTCCAGCATGTTTTGATTACCTTACCCGCTTTTGCTATTTCGTCCAATGATGCCGAAGCTTTGCTAATAATATTTTTCAGCACTTTAGTTTTCATTTTTTTAATATTACATTCTCTACAGCAAGAGGGGTATCCTTCATTGGCGTATCATGTCTGGAACCCCGTAGCCCCCTCCCCCCTCCGTATGGTATCATTGAAAAGTCGTCTTGCAGAAAAGACTCCAACAATCAGATCAATCTCCAACGCACCTTATGGACGGGTTTTCAATACACGCAGCAATGCACTTTCTTCTAGAGACTAAAATTTATTTTTGGTAAAGAAATATGGACTCAAAAAATTCATTTATATCAGAATTGAGACAGAATAATGCTAGAGAACGAAAAATCTATAAATATTGAGTTCCAAAAACAAACAAACGAAAAACCTCATTTCGTTCTGCCGCGACTACACCTCTCCGCTCTAAACTTATTGTTTTAGAGATTAGCCCCCCCTCCCCCCGAAAAAAATTATGAATCTGCGTGCATTAAACGTGTCTGCCAAGAATTCATGCGAAGTCACGTACAAGAGTTTTCAGATATTTATATATTTTCATTTTTAAATTTTAAAGGATTTTAAAGTTTCAACATTGGAACTTTTTCTGCATATCAGCATTTAAAATGAAAAAGGTTTTCAACAGTGAGCCAACATACTGAATTAGGAAACGCAAACGCCTACATTTTTTTGCGGAGTGTCATACGCTTTCATGGTGCAACACTCACTTCGCATTCATTTCATTCGGGGTTTTTGGGCGCTATGTAGACGCCAACACCGAATTTCACTCCTCAATTTTTAACAGTGTGTACCGGCCTTTTCCCCGAAACACGTAATTTGATCATGTGTTTGATTTCGTGAAAATATTTTTTATTTTACTCAATCTGGCGGTCTGATACTTACATCTACATCGTGAATGAAGCTGTAAGTCGATGAAGGAGGGGGAGGGATGATGGGATTCTCATATGGGACTCCATCTGGCGCAATGGACGGCCGACGCGGGCACGCGTGGAATCGCCGTCCCTAGCCTGCCTGAAACCTAGCGATCTACGATTTTCGCATTTTTCCCCCCCCTAATTTCCTTATCATTCCCCTCTCTATCTAACCCAGCTGAAATGCGGCATCTATTTCAGCCTATGCTCCCTTTTTTAACACCTAACCTATTTCGACACGTGACACGTGCGTAGTTCAGCCATCGTCTGAAGCGCTGATTTTGTGCACTTTCTTGTACTTAAGAAACGTCTTCCCTAATTTATTAAAGAAAAATTGAAAATGAAAATTGGTAAATTTTACGAGTACACAAGATGCACGTAGAAGATCCCGTAAAAAATCAGAGTCGGAGAGCTCAACGTAAAAAAATTTTGATTAAAGATGTAAAAAAAACTTGAGAGATTAAATTGAAATCTTGACGTCAAAAATTCGCGATTTTTTGCGCAAAAAAATCCGAAAAAAATTTGGAAGAACAAAGTTTTTACGTGAAAAATCTTACTTTCCGTACATTAAAAGGAGGTCAGAAAGAAATGCAAAGAAGGCAGATTGAACTACGATTTTTTACGTAAAAAATTGACGTCTCTGAATTTTTTCTCTGACTTTTTCACGTAAAAAATCACGATTTTTCTTTTTTACCTCCTCGAACATTTATTTTTTATGTCAAATTTTTGATTGCGAAAACCAAAAAATTGAGGAAGAATATCTGTACTGAAAATTCGCTTAATCGGCTAAATAGGAAATACTTTTGGAGTATCTATTACTAGAATGATACGCTAAAAATTCGAATGTCCCCTAAATTTTTTTTGTAAAAAGAGTAAGCCCGAAAACTGGATACAAAATTGTTTCGAAACCAGAGTTTTTAAAAATCTGAGAAGATTTTAAGAACTTATCTTTATTAGATTGGTTTTAAACATTCTTAAAAAAATTGATGCATTTTATAATAAAATTTAAGAAAAGGAGAATGTCATTTCACTTTTGGTTTATTTTACATCTTGTTTTACGATTTTTTTTCTTTTCTTGTACATTTTAAGTCTTTGTGCTAGTAGGAGAAGAATGATTATAATTTCTCTTTGGTGTCCAAAAGATTAAGGTCAACCAACATCCGTGGAAAGTTCTGAAATAACTAATTCCTTGGGAACAATTTAGTATACTTTCTTTTTACTGGAAATTATGGACTTGCATAATTTTCCAAGTACTAAGTGAATAAACGTACAGCCGATATGCATGTGCCAGCCTCTGATTACAATTTACACCTGCTGGGGATCAAAAATCGCGCATAAGCTCCTTCTAGTGATGTGTAAATAAATTGTAAAAGAGGGACGCAAGACCAGCAGCTAAACAGTGGTGTCACACCCCCCTCCCCCCACCCCAGGTACTTGACGAGGTTCCCCTATTTCATTAATTGGGTGTGTGCGGACTCCTTCTAGGAGATGTGAGAGGGAAGGGGGCCGGGGGCCTCCCCCGAACTATTTTGACACTTTGATGTTCCACATATAGAGGCAATTTGAGGCTATAACCAGCAGTTTTGTCTCCTTTGCCACTGCAGAAACTTGCTTAGGTTTTATGGGTAAATATGTCTTCTTTTTTTTTCCTTTTCTTTTAATAAATTAAACGAAACTTTTTTACAGAAAAACGGAGGGGGGAGAAGAAATATGTGGGAGGGGGGGGGAATGAAGGATTGGAGAGAAAAGAAAAAGGGGGGAGAATAGAAGAAACGGGGTCGGAGGAGAATATAACCGAGCGAAAACAGATGACACTTTGGCGGATTTACGCAAACTGCCCATAAAAAAAGAAAAAAAAAACTTCACACACCCCTCCCCCCATTTCAAACTTGATGAGTTGCTTGTCTGTAAACATGGCTACTGACATCACTGCAGCTAAATGATGGAGTAGGTGAGCAAAAGTCCGAATGAATTGTAAGTCGTCCCAGACAAGAAGGGAGGGCTGAAGGATAACAGACAGGACGGAGAGTCGCATTAGGTTACTAGTTACTTCCTAAAAGTTCGATCCATTCGATTTTATAAAGAGAAGTTGATGAAGAGCTTCAGTTGAACGGTGGCGTATATGTATAAAGATAATGAAAGAGGAAGGAGACGCGGATCACGCGAACGACAAAGGTGAGGAAGGGAAGAGAGTGGGCAGTAG